GAGAGGGTAATGAAGACACTAAGGTTTCCTGGAGGCTGGCCTACGGCAGGTGGCAATATCAGTGGGACAGGGGATCGGAAACCAGGCCTGGGTCAGCTGGCCTGGTGTGAGCCATGGCATTAAAGCCTCTGGGCCTCATCTGTGCACAGGGGATAATAACAGCAACAATGATGAGACCCAGCATTTACTGTGGGCTTACTGTATGCATTCACTGCCACAGTTTTCCTCATCTCTAAAACTGGGACTAACAAGAACAGTGATGAGAACCACTGATTGAGCATGTATTGCATAAAAACCTCTGTTCTAAGAGAAATACACACCTTAGTGTTCCTCATCTGTAGTCTGTGAATAATAGCAACAGTAATAAATTACATGAATCATTTATTAAACACTTAATGGATCGTAAGCCCCTGTGCTAAGTGACTCTCAAGCCTCAGTTTCCCTCACAGGTGGACTGGGAGTAGTGAATCATCATAATAGCTAACATTCACTGAGCCTTTGCTGCGTGCCAGGTCATTCTCAGAACCCGATTCACACTAGATAGACAAGGCCCAACTCGACAGGGTCCCCAACAAGTCTTCCGCATCGTCTCCCCTTCCTCTTCACCTCGCTGTGCTCCACAACGCTGGCCTTCTCCAGGTGCTCCCCAGAAACAGCTATGCTCAGTCCCCCTCAGGGCCTTTGCGTGCGCCTTTCCCCAGACACCCACATGACCCACTCCCTCACCTCCCTACTCAGACACCACTTCCTCAGTGAGACCTTCCCTGACCATGCTATTTAAAATCCAGGGCCCACAGTAGTGTCTGCTGCAAAACAGACATCCAGCAAATGCTTGTTTTATCAATATATGCTTATTGCGTGCCCCAGGCCAGCCTCCGGAGCAGCTGACATACTTAACAGACCTGCAAAGTAGGTGAGGGCAGAAACCCCAAGGAGGCCTCAAGAAAAGCACCCCAGATCGAGGGCGCAGCAGCGTAAAGGCTCTAAGATGACAACGTGCTTGGAGAAGGGTGGAAAGCTGGCACCGAACGCGCGAGGGGGACCCCAGGTCTGACAGGTCCAAGAGGTCAGCCAGCAGGAGTGTGTGGGGAAGGCAGGGACTCTGGGATTTCACGCTGAACTACACGAGTCCGACGGGACCTGGTGGTTTTTAACACGTCCCCTCTTGCTCTGGTTGGCAAAACAGGCGGTTCGGGAACCCGAGATTCGGCAGCGGAGGGGCCCACTGACTCTTGGAGCTGCTCAGGCACGTTTACAGCCTTGGACTTCGGCGAGGGCCCGCC